TATATATATTGATTTCAGAGAGGAAGGGAGAGGGAGAGGGAGAGAAACATCAATGATGAGAGAGAATCATTGATCGGCTGCCTCTTGCACGCCCCCTCCTGGGGATTGAGCTCACAACCTTGGGCATGTGCCCTTGACCAGAATCAAACCCGGGACCCTTCCGTCCACAGGCCGACGCTCTATCCACTGAACAACACCAGCCAGGGCTCATCTCATCCTTTCCAAACCATCCTGAGGCCTCTGTAGATGAGAATCCAGGGCTCCAGGAGGGCAAGTCACCGGCCTGAGGTTGGCCAGCAGCACCCAAACCTGGGCCTTCTGCTCAGCATATCATGGGGACCGTGTGGGGTAATGAGGGCTGAGGACCCCGGGCAGGCTTTGTTTTCCAGCTCAGAGGCATCAGATCAAATGCTCTCCTACAGGCAGCCCCTCGTGATTCCACTGTATCTGGGAGCCACAAGCCAGGATGCCCAGGGCTCCTGCCCCGCTCCCCACTGCTCTTGGGACAAAGACCGGAGCCCTCCAGCGTCCACCTGGCCATCTCCCCAGCCTGCCCCCTCTTCCCCTTGTTCTGTGAGCTCCAGGCCCCCCGCCTCCTTGCCTTTCCTCAACTCCCCAAGTCTCTGCAGCCATAGGCCTTGGCAGGCGGTCTCTATTTCAGCATCCAGCTCTCAAAGACGCCTCCCCGACCTCCCCTTCCCAGGCCAGGTCAGAGCCTGGTTCCAGGCCCTCAGCTGCACCTCGCCTTTACTAGCTCTTGTCACAGCATCAGGAAACAGTGCTCTGGGTAATGATCTACCACTGTACCCTCCACCAGCAGGAAGCATGGGCCTGTCTTCTCAGGGCTGCAGCACCAGGGTTTGCTGTCCCAGAGCGTGTCCTTCATAAATGTGGTTGCACAGAAGATGGGTAGATGGAGGAATGGGTGGCTGAATGGATGGATGGGTGGATGGGTGGACAGATGGATTGTTAGATGGGTGGATGAATGGGCAGAGAATTGGACAGATGATTGGATCAATGGGTGGACAGTTGGGTATTTCCATGCATGGATAGAAGGATGGATAATGAATGGATAAAATGGTAGATGGATGAATGGATGATGGATGAGTAGATGGATGGTGGGTGGAAGAAAGGATGGATACATGGATGAATGATGAGTGGGAAAATGAATGGATGATGGATGGATGGAAGGAAGAAAGGATGGATGAATAGATGTATAGATGATGAATGGATGAATTATGGATGCAAGGAACTATAGATGGATGAGTGGATAATGGATAGGTGGATGATGGGTGGAAGGAAGGAAAGAACAGAGGATGGATGAGTAGATGGGTGGATGGTGAATGGATGGATACTGAGTAGATTTGTAGACAAATAGATGGAAAGTAATTTTTGCACAAGGACCCCTTGGTCCTAGGGCAGCTCACCATTGACCCGCAGGCCGTACTGCAGCTCCGTGCGACCCGCCACATTGGACGCCACACAGCGGTAGCTCCCAGCGTCCGAAGGTCGGGCTCTCTCAATGAGGAGAACTCTCCCGTCAGCTGACACCGTGACTCCCTTCCGAGCAGAGACAGGCTGGCGGCCCTTGAACCAGGAGATGTCTGGGGAGAGAAGAGAGACACTGGGGATCCTGTCAGCCCTTCAGGCTGTGCTGTGTAATGGGCAGTGTTGCCTGAGATAGGACCAAGGGCAGAGAGGAAGCCCCAGGGGCTGGGCAGCCGAGAGCAAGGAGAGTCAAAGCCGGCCTGGCCCCCTCAGCTCCTGCTTTAGAGGAGAACAGAGCACCCCAACACAGCAGCCTCATAAACATGGAGCAGTTGTATCTTTAGCTCCTTGCATCCTGCCAGGGCCCGTCCCAGAACCTGACAGGGTATTTGCCCCATCGGATGGGGCGATAACCATAGGGCTCGCTACCCAGCAAAACTGGGTGGACCTGGTTCAAATGGGGGACAGGAAATGGGGCCTCCTCCTGGGCCCATCGTGGCTGCTGAACACCCACACCCAGCCCCAAGCTCCTAGCCCTTCCCTCAATTGTTAGTCTAGAGAAGGGGCCAGACAGACAGTGACTTGGCAACTTGGCGGCCCGGCCCTCACCCCCAGCCCGGGGCTGCCCTGTGACGTTACAACTCCAGACAAAGCCCTGCGGGTTTGCTTCAGACACCAGCGCAATGGCTTCTCGGCCTTCGGGCCAAGGTCAAGGGCAGACACCAGTGCAAAGGCTCTGGGCCTGGCGGTGACAGGCAGTTAATGGGCCCTGGATGAACAGCTGTGGGGAAGGAAGAGAGGAAAATGCAAGGAATAGGGAGAAGGGCCTGCGGACGCCAGCCTGATTGTCCACAACCAGCGCGGTGCCTGGGCACTGGCCAACCTCACCAGGTGGGGCCTGGGGCCAGTGGCAGGTGGCTTTCCCTCACCAGGAGGGGCTTACCTGGAGGGGGCACGCCGGAAGCCAGGCACTCCAAGGTCACGGAGGCATTTTCCAGCACTGCCTTGTTGGCCGGGACTGGCTCAATGTTGGGGGGCACTAGGGGAGACAGGGCGCACCCTTGCTTGGTGGGTAGCTCAGATCTCAGCCACCCCAACGTCTCTCCCCAGCCTTCCTGAAAGGTCCTGGGCAACAAGAGCCCCCCAATGGCTCATGGCCTCTGACCAAGGAACCCCACTCCTGAACCACACACAGAATAAGTCTTCATTGCAATCGTACTAGGACCGCCCCAGCACACACCCTCAGGAACAGCCCACCCCAGTGGGCAGGCAGAACCCGGAGAGCATGAAGAGTGGCAAGTGCAAGGACCTGCCCACATATGCGAGGATGTAAAGGAACCCCCAAACCGAATAAGACAACAAAGGTAAATAGGGGTACGGACAAGGGTGTCCCTTAAAAACCCTTCAGAAAGCCACCTATGGGGGTCACAGAATGGACGTTCCTTTTTCTTTTTTAAAAAAAATATATTTGTATTGATTTAAGAGAGGAAGAGGAAGAGGAAGAGGGAGAGACAGAAACATCAATGATGAGAGAGAATCATGGATTGGCTGCCTCCCGCATGGCCTCCACTGGGGATTGAGCCCGCAACCCAGGCATGTGCCCTGACCGGGAATCGAACCCTGACCTCTTGGTTCATAGGCCGACACTCAACCACTGAGCCACGCCAGCCGAGTGAGCAGATGACTTTCTACTTCTAAAGTCAAGTGCATGACTAGATGTTAAACCCCATCCCCCCCACCCCCACAGCAGCCCCGAGGGCCCTCAAAGGGTCCCCCACCATTCGTCACCCGTGTCCTCACCCAAAACCTTGAGCACCGCATCCCTTCTGCTCTCGCCGGCCAAGTTAGTGGCGACACAGGTGTAGACGCCTTCGTCCCTCAGGTCCACCTTCTCAATCTGGGGCAGGGGAGGCAGAGGTGTGTCACAGGGAGGCGGGGGTGGGGGCACGGGGTCCAGAACCAGGAGTCACTCAGAATGATGCTGGGACATGACAAGTGGCCAGGCTGCGCTGACCCCAGGAGCAGGAGAAGGGAGGCATGGGGACGAGTTTGGCTCTGGGTGTAGTTCTGAACCACACACTTAGACTCCAGGGAATCCCCCTGATCTTGGGGACCCTCCCCTTCCCCCCACTTTCTCCCTCTGACAGCTGAAGCTCTGGGGACATGGACTAGGTTA